CCCATGGGCACCCTGACCCCCCCCCCCCCCCCCATGGGCACCCCAACCCCTGACCCCCCCCCCATGGGCACCCTGACCCCCATGGGCACCCTGGGGGCACCCCCCCCCATGGGCACCCCAAAACCCTGACCCCCCCCATGGGCACCCCAACACCCTGACCCCCCATGGGCACCCCAAAACCCTGACCCCCCCCCATGGGCACCCCAACACCCTGACCCCCCCATGGGCACCCTGACCCCCCCCCCCCATGGGCACCCCCCCCCCTGACCCCCCCCCCATGGGCACCCTGACCCCCCCATGGGCCCCCCCCATGGGCACCCTGACCCCCCCCCATGGGCACCCCAACACCCTGACCCCCCCATGGGCACCCCAAAACCCTGACCCCCCATGGGCACCCCAAACCCTGACCCCCCCCCATGGGCACCCCAAAACCCTGACCCCCCCATGGGCACCCCAAAACCCTGACCCCCCATGGGCACCCCAACACCCCCCCCCCATGGGCACCCTGACCCCCCATGGGCACCCTGACCCCCCCCATGGGCACCCTGACCCCCCATGGGCACCCCCCAACACCCTGACCCCCCCATGGGCACCCCAACCCCCCCACCCCCCCCCCATGTGACCCCACCCATGGGCATCCCAAAACCCTTAACCCCCCATGGGCACCCCAACACCCTGACCCCCCCCCCCCATGGGCACCCTGAACCCCCCCCATGGGCACCCTGACCCCTGACCCCCCATGGGCACCCTGACCCCCCCATGGGCACCCTGACCCCCCTATGGGCACCCTGACCTGGCATGGGCACCCTGACCCCCCATGGGCACCCCACCTGACCCCCCATGGGCACCCTGACCCCCCCATGGGCCCCCTGCCCCCCCCATGGGCACCCTGACCCCCCACGGGCACCCTGACCCCCCATGGGCACCCTGACACCCCCCATGGGCTCCCTGACCCCCCATGGGCACCCTGACCCCCACCATGGGCACCCTGACCCCCCCATGGGCACCCTGACCCCCCCCATGGGCACCCTGACCCCCATGGGCACCCTGACCTCCCCCCATGGGCACCCTGACCCCCCATGGGCACCCTGACCCCCCCCCATGGGCACCCTGACCCTCCATGGGCACCCTGACCCCCCCATGGGCACCCTGACCCCCCCCCATGGACACCCTGACCCACCCATGGGCACCCTGACCCCCCCCCCCAGGGCACCCCACCCCCCCCCCCATGGGCACCCTGACCCCCCCCCATGGGCACCCCAACCCCCATCCCCCCCCCCATGGGCACCCCACCCCCCATTGGGCATGGGCACCCTGACCCCCCCATGGGCACCCTGACCCCCCCACGGGCACCCTGACCCCAACCCATGGGCACCCTGACCCGCCGTGGGCACCCTGACCCCCCCACGGGCACCCTGACCCCAACCCATGGGCACCCTGGGCACCCTGACCCCCCCCATGGGCACCCTGACCCGCCCCCATGGGCACCCTGGGCACCCTGACCCCCCCATGGGCACCCTGACCCCCCATGGGCACCCTGACCCCCCCATGGGCACCCTGACCCCCCCCATGGGCACCCTGACCCCCCCCCCATGGGCACCCTGACCCCCCCCATGGGCACCCTGACCCCCCCATGGGCACCCTGACCCGCCATGGGCACCCTGACCCTCCATGGGCACCCTGACCCCCCCCCATGGGCACCCTGACCCCCCGTGGGCACCCTGACCCCCTACAGGCACCCTGACCCACCATGGGCACCCTGACCCCCCCCCCCTGACCCCCCCATGGGCACCCTGACCCCCCCCCATGGGCACCCTGACCCGCCATGGGCACCCTGACCCCCCCATGGGCACCCTGACCCCCCACTGCTCGCCCTCAGGGTGCACCGATGACATTGTCACCAGTGACCACTCTCCCGTCTTCGCCTCCTTCGAGGTGGGGGTCACCTCCCAGTTTGTCTCCAAGAAAGGTGCCTGCTCCCCCCGTCCCCCCCCGCCTGTCCCAGCCCTCCCTTGGCACGGTGTGGGGGGGCCCGGGGGGTCCCCCATGCTCTGTGTGCCCCTGCAGGGCTCTCCAAGTCCTCGGAGCAGGCGCACATCGAGTTCGAGAGCATCGAGGCCATCGTGAAGACTTCGAGCCGCACCAAGTTCTTCATCGAGTTCTACTCCACCTGCCTGGAAGGTGACGGGGTCCGGGTGGGGTTTGGGGTCCCAAGGGGGTGTTTGGGGTCCCAAGGGGGTGTTTGGGGTCCCGGGGGGGGTTTGGGGTCCCGGGGGGTGTTTGGGGTCCCGGGAGGTTTTGGGGTCCCGGTGGTGCTGTTTGGGGTCCTGGGGGGTGTTTGGGGTCCTGGGGGGTGTTTGGGGTCCTGGGGGGTGTTTGGGGTCCCAGGGGGGTGTTTGGGGTCCTGGGGGTGCTGTTTGGGGTCCTGGGGGGTGTTTGGGGTCCCGGGGGGTGTTTGGGGTCCTGGGGGGTGTTTGGGGTCCTGGGGGGTGTTTGGGGTCCTGGGGGTGCTGTTTGGGGTCCCGGGGGGGGTTTGGGGTCCTGGGGGGTGTTTGGGGTCCTGGGGGGTGTTTGGGGTCCCGGGGGTGCTGTTTGGGGTCCCAGGGGGTGTTTGGGGTCCCAGGGGGGTGTTTGGGGTCCCAGGGAGGTGTTTGGGGTCCCGGGGGTGCTGTTTGGGGTCCTGGGGGCTGTTTGGGGTCCCGGGGGTGCTGTTTGATGTCCCCATCGCCCCAGAGTTCAAGAAGAGCTTCGAGAACGATGCCCAGAGCAGCGACAACATCAACTTCCTCAAGGTGCAGTGGTCATCCCGGCAGCTGCCCACGGTGAGGGGGGGTGAGGGGGGTATGAGCAGGGGGAGCCCCAGGTGCCAGCGTCACATCACAGCCCATCACATCCCAACTCAGCCCATCACAGCCCATCACATCCCAACTCAGCCCATCACATCCCAACTCAGCCCATCACAGCCCATCACATCCTGTATCATCCCATCACATCACATCCCAACTCAGCCTATCACAGCCCATCACATCCTGTATCATCACATCACATCCCAACTCAGCCCATCACATCCCAACTCAGCCCATCACATCCCAACTCAGCCCATCACACCCCATGTCATCCTATCTCATCCAGTCACATCCCACCACATCCCGTTACATCCTACCACATCCCACCACATCCCATCACATCCTACCATGTCCCCACCACATCCCATGTCATCCTATCTCATCCAGTCACATTCTATCATATCCCACCACATCCCATCACATCCCACCACATCCTACCCCATCCCATCACATCCTACCACATCCCCACCACATCCCATCACATCCCATGTCATCCTATCTCATCTAGTCACATCCTATCACATCCCACCACATCCCATCCCATCTCATCCCATCCCATCCCATCTCTATTCTATCCCATCCCATCCCATCTCTATCCCATCCCAACTCTATCCCATCCCATCCCTATCCCATCCCATCTCTATCCCATCCCATCCCATCCCATCCCATCCCATCCCATCCCATCTCTATCCCATCCCATCCCATCCCATCCCATCCCATCTCACGCCCTCCACCCCGCAGCTGAAGCCCATCCTCTCGGACATCGAGTACCTGCAGGACCAGCACCTCCTGCTCACCGTCAAGTCCCTGGATGGGTACGAGTCCTACGGTGAGTGCCTCCATCCCGGCGGGGGGGGTATTCCCATGGGATGCCGCTCACCCCGTCCCGGCTGCCGTCCCAGGGGAGTGCGTGATCGCGCTCAAGTCCATGATCGGCAGCACGGCGCAGCAGTTCCTCACCTTCCTGTCGCACCGCGGCGAGGAGACCGGCAACATCCGCGGCTGCATGCGCGTGAGGGTGCCCGCCGAGCGCCTGGGCACCCGCGAGAGGCTCTACGGTGAGGGACGCCCCCGCGGGAGGTGGGGGAACCCCCGTGGGGATGATGGGGTCCTCCATGGGGATGATGGGGTCCTCCAATGGGGTCCTCCACTGGGATGATGGGGTCCTCCATTGGGATCCTCCGTGGGGATGATGGGGTCCTCCAATGGGATCCTCCATTGGGATGATGGGATCCTCCAAAGGGATCCTCCATTGGGATGATGGGGTCCTCCAATGGGATCCTCCATTGGGATGATGGGGTCCTCCAATGGGATCCTCCGTTGGGATGATGGGGTCCTCCAATGGGATCCTCCGTTGGGATGATGGGATCCTCCAAAGGGATCCTCCATTGGGATGATGGGGTCCTCCAATGGGATCCTCCGTGGGGATGATGGGGTCCTCCAATGGGATCCTCCATTGGGATGATGGGATCCTCCAAAGGGATCCTCCATTGGGATGATGGGGTCCTCCAATGGGATCCTCCATTGGGATGATGGGGTCCTCCATTGGGATCCTTCATTGGGATGATGGGATCCTCCATTGGGATGATGGGATCCTCCAAAGGGATCCTCCATGGGGATGATGGGGTCCTCCATTGGGATGATGGGGTCCTCCAATGGGATCCTCCATTGGGATGATGGGACCCTCCAATGGGGTCCTCCATTGGGATGATGGGATCCTCAATTCGGATGATGGGATGCTCCAAAGGGATCCTCCATTGGGATGATGGGGTCCTCCATTGGGATCCTCCATTGGGATGATAGAGTCCTCCAATGGGATCCTCCATTGGGATGATGGGGTCCTCCATTGGGATGATGGGATCCTCCAATGGGGTCCTCCATTGGGATGATGGGGTCCTCCATTGGGATGATGGGATCCTCCAAAGGGATCCTCCATTGGGATGATGGGGTCCTCCAATGGGATCCTCCGTTGGGATGATGGGGTCCTCCAATGGGATCCTCCGTTGGGATGATGGGATCCTCCATTGGAATGATGGGATCCTCCAAAGGGATCCTCCATTGGGATGATGGGGTCCTCCATTGGGATGATGGGATCCTCCAAAGGGATCCTCCATTGGGATGATGGGGTCCTCCAATGGGATCCTCCGTTGGGATGATGGGGTCCTCCAATGGGATCCTCCGTTGGGATGATGGGATCCTCCATTGGAATGATGGGATCCTCCAAAGGGATCCTCCATTGGGATGATGGGGTCCTCCATTGGGATGATGGGGTCCTCCATTGGGATCCTCCATTGGGATGATGGGGTCCTCCAATGGGATCCTCCATTGGGATGACGGGGTCCTCCAATGGGGTCCTCCATTGGGATCCTCTGTTGGGATGATGGGGTCCTCCAATGGGATCCTCCATTGGGATGTGTGGGATCCTCCATTGGGATGTATGGGATCCTCCATTGGGATGATGGGATCCTCCATTGGGATGATGGGATCCTCCAAAGGGATCCTCCATGGGGATGATGGGGTCCTCCATTGGGATGATGGGGTCCTCCAATGGGATCCTCCATTGGGATGATGGGACCCTCCAATGGGGTCCTCCATTGGGATGATGGGATCCTCAATTCGGATGATGGGATGCTCCAAAGGGATCCTCCATTGGGATGATGGGGTCCTCCATTGGGATCCTCCATTGGGATGATAGAGTCCTCCAATGGGATCCTCCATTGGGATGATGGGGTCCTCCGTTGGGGTATATGGGATCCTCCATTGGCATGATGGCATTGGGATTATGGGATACTCCATTGGGATGATGGCATCCTCCACTGGGATGATGGGATCCTCCATTGGGCTGTATGGGATGCCCCATTGGGATGTATGGGATCATCCATTGGGATAATGGGAACCCCCATTGGGATGATGGGATCCTGCACTGGGATGTATGGGAACCCCCATTGGGATGATGGGACCCTCCATTGGGATGTGTGGGATCTCCCATTGGGATGATGGGACCCTCCATTGGGATGATGGGACCCTCCATTGGGATGTATGGGATCCTCCATTGGGATGTGTGGGACCCTCCCGTGACCTCCTGCCCCGGCAGAGTGGATCAGCATCGACAAGGATGAGGCCGCCGCCAGCAAGGGGAAGGTGCCGCTGGGTGCCAGGGCCACCCAGGACTGTGCCAGGTATGGGCAGGGGGGCCGGGGGGGTTCAGGTGCCCCCCGATCCCATGGGATCATGGGTGGTGCTGCGAGCATCCCTCTGGGATGTGGTGGGGATGGCCCCGGTGCTGACTGTGCCAGGGATGGGGTTTCAGTGCCTTCGACACCCTGTGCTGGGGGTCCGAGCCCCATCCCCGTGCATCCAAACCCCATCCCGGTGCATCCAAACCCCATCCCGGGGGTCTGAGCCCCATCCCAGTGCATCCAAACCCCATCCCGGTGCATCCAAACCCCATCCTGGGGGTCTGAGCCCCATCCCAGTGCATCCAAACCCCATCCCGGTGCATCCAAACCCCATCCTGGTGCATCCAAACCCCATCCCGGTGCATCCAAACCCCATCCCGGTGCATCCAAACCCCATCCTGGTGCATCCAAACCCCATCCCGGGGGTCTGAGCCCCATCCTGGTGCATCCAACCCCATCCTGGTGCATCCAACCCCATCCCGATGCATCCAACCCCATCCCCGTTCTCCCCCATGTATCCCCTCTCCCACAGATCCTCCACCCGCAAGCCCGCAGCCGCTGCCGATCCCTCCACCATTCCCAAGCCTGCGGAGGAGCCGGAGCAGAGCAGCACCATCCCTGCCCCACGGCCCCCAGCCCCACACCGCAGGGATGAGCCCGCCCCCAGCCGGTGCGTGTGGTGGGACCATGGACCCCCCATCACCCATGGATCACCCATAGGACCCCCCCATCATCCATGGGACCCCCCCAACATCCATGGGACCTCCCCATCACCCATGGACCCTCCCCATCACCCCTGGACCCCCCCATCACCCATGGACCCCATCCCAGTGCATCCCCCCATCCCAATGCACCCCCCATCACCCCTGGATCCCCCATCACCCATGGGATCCCCCCATCCCGGTGCATCCCCCCATCAGATGCATTGGACCTCCCCTGATCACCCCCATGGGCCCCTGCATCACCCATTGCCATCCAAACCCCATCACCCATGCATCCCCCCATCCCCGTTCACCCCCATGTATCCCCTCTCCCACAGATCCTCCACCCGCAAGCCCGCAGCCGTGCCCCCTCCACCATTCCCAGCCTGCGGATCACCCATGCAGCACCATCCCTGCCCCACGGCCCCCAGCCCCATACCGCATGCCCCCCCCATCACCCGTGTGGTGGGACCCCCATCACCCATGGATCACCCATAGGACCCCCCCATCATCCATGGGACCTCCCCATCACCCATGTACCCCCCATCACCCATGTACCCCCCATCACCCATGTACCCCCCATCACCCATGCCCCCCCATCACCCATGTACCCCCCATCACCCGTGCCCCCCCATCACCCATGTACCCCCCACCACCCATGCCCCCCATCACCCATGCCCCCCCATCACCCATGTACCCCCATCACCCATGCGCCCCCATCACCCATGCCCCCCCCATCACCCATGTACCCCCATCATCCATGCCCCCCATCACCCATGTACCCCCCACCACCCACGTACCCCCCCCATCACCCATGTACCCCCCCATCACCTGTACCCCCCATCACCCATGTACCCCCCACCACCCATCACCCCCCCCCCATCACCCGTGTCCCCTCATCACCCATGCCCCCCCATCACCCATGTACCCATCACCCATGTACCCATCACCCATGTACCCCCCCACCCATCACCCATAGCCCCCCACCACCCATGCCACCCCATCACCCATGTACCCCCATCACCCGTACTCCCCCACCACCCATGTACCCCCACCACCCACGTACCCCCCCCATCACCCTTGAGCCCCCATCACCCATGTACCCCCCCACCCATCACCCACGTACCCCCCGCTGCCCGCAGCCCCAGGCCGGACCCGGAGCCGCTGCACACCAGCTTCAACAACCCCGCTTACTACGTGCTCGAGGGGGTCCCGCAGCGGCGCCGCGCCTCCAGCCCCCCCGCGCCGCGGGACGGGAGCTCCGAGGACGAGGACGCGCTCAACCTCCCCCCGCCCGACTTCCCCCCGCCGCCGCTGCCCAGGGACGCGGCCACGGAGCCCCCGGGCCGGGAGGAGCCGCGGCCCCGGCCCGGCCCCACCGAGGGGCTCCCCCCGCGCCTGCAGCCGGGCCCCGACGGCTCCTGCTCCGTGCTGCAGATGGCGAAGAGCCTGAGCGAGGAGGAGTTCGGGGCCGGCCCGCGCCTGCCCCACGAGCACGGGCGCGCAGGGGCCGCGTTCCGCACGCACCCCATCCGGGAGAGCATCCAGGAGGAGCTGGCAGAGGAGGTGAGGGCGGGGAGGGCAGGGGATGGGGGAGATGGGGGAGATGGGGGGAGATGGGGGGAGATGGGGGGAGATGGGAGGAGAGATACAGGGGGGAGATGGGGGGGATGGGGGAGATGGGGGGAGATGGGAGATGGGAGATGTGCGATGCGGGGGAGATGGCGGGGAGATGGGGGGGGAGATGCCGGGGAGATGGGAGATGGGGGGAAATGGGAGATGGGGGGAGATGGGGGAGAGATGGGGAAGAGATGGGGGAGATGGGGGGAGATGGGGGAGATGGGGGGAGATGGGAGATGGGGGGGGGAGATGGGAGATGGGGGGGAGATGGGGGAGAGATGGGGGGAGATGGGAGATAGGGGGGAGATGGGGGAGATGGGGGAGATGGGAGATGGGTGATGGGAGATGGGGGGGAGATGTGGGGGGAGATGGGGGAGATGGGGGGGGAGATGCCAGGGAGATGGGAGATGGGAGATGGGGGAGAGATGGGGGGGAGATGGGGGAGATGGGGGGGAGATGGGAGATGGGAGATGTGCGATGGGGGGGAGATGGCGGGGAGATGGGGGAGATGGGGGGGGGAGATGCCAGGGAGATGGGAGATGGGGGAGAGATGGGGGGGAGATGGGGGGAGATGGGGGGGAGATGGGAGATGGGTGATGGAAGATGGGGGGGAGATGGGGGGAGATGCCGGGGAGATGACGGGGAGATGGGTGATGGGAGATGGGAGATGGATGATGGGTGATGGGAGATGGGAGATGGGTGATGGGAGATGGGTGATGGGAGATGGGAGATGGGAGATGGGAGATGGGAGATGGGAGATGGGAGATGGGAGATGGGTGATGGGTGATGGGAGATGGGAGATGGGTGATGGGTGATGGGTGATGGGAGATGGGAGATGGGTGATGGGAGATGGGAGATGGGTGATGGGAGATGGGTGATGGGAGATGGGTGATGGGAGATGGGAGATGGGTGATGGGTGATGGGAGATGGGAGATGGGAGCAGGAGATGGGAGATGGGTGATGGGTGATGGGAGATGGGTGATGGGTGATGGGTGATGGGAGATGGGTGATGGGTGATGGGAGATGGGTGATGGGAGATGGGAGATGGGTGATGGGAGATGGGAGATGGGTGATGGGTGATGGGAGATGGGAGATGGGAGCAGGAGATGGGAGATGGGTGATGGGTGATGGGAGATGGGTGATGGGTGATGGGAGATGGGTGATGGGAGATGGGTGATGGGAGATGGGAGATGGGTGATGGGTGATGGGAGATGGGAGATGGGAGCAGGAGATGGGAGATGGGTGATGGGAGATGGGAGATGGGAGATGGGAGATGGGTGATGGGAGATGGGAGATGGGTGATGGGAGATGGGAGATGGGAGATGGGAGATGGGAGATGGGTGATGGGAGATGGGAGATGGGAGATGGGTGATGGGAGATGGGTGATGGGAGATGGGTGATGGGAGATGGGAGATGGGAGATGGGAGATGGGTGATGGGAGATGGGTGATGGGAGATGGGAGATGGGTGATGGGAGATGGGTGATGGGATATGGGAGATGGGTGATGGGCGATGGGTGATGGGAGATGGGAGATGGGAGCAGGAGATGGGTGATGGGTGATGGGAGATGGGTGATGGGAGATGGGAGCAGGAGATGGGAGATGGGTGATGGGAGATGGGAGATGGGAGATGGGTGATGGGAGATGGGTGATGGGAGATGGGTGATGGGTGATGGGAGATGGGTGATGGGTGATGGGAGATGGGTGATGGGAGATGGGAGATGGGAGATGGGTGATGGGCGATGGGTGATGGGAGCAGGAGATGGGTGTAGGGCGATGGGGGTTGATGCATGATGAGACCCCCCCCAGTGTCCCTTATTGTGGTTCTTTTGGGGGAGACCCCCAGGGGGCTGTGGGGCACTGCGGGTGGATGTTGGGGGTGCTGTGGAACCGATGGGTGGGTGCCGTGGGGTGCTATGGGGTGTAGGTGGGTGCTGTGGAGTGACAATGGGTGCTCTCCCCAGGCAGTGGGTGCTGGGGGGTGACAGTGGGGTGGCAGTGGGAGCTCTCCGCAGGCAGTGGGTGCCGGGGGTGCTGTGGGTGCCCTGGCGCTGATGGGTGCTCTCCGCAGGCAGTGGGTGCTGTGGCATGCTGTGGGTGCCCTGGTGCTGATGGGTGCTCTCAGCAGGTGGTGGGTGCCGGGGGTGCTGTGGGTGCCCTGGCGCTGATGGGTGCTCTCCGCAGGCGGTGGGTGCCGGGGGTGCTGGGGGTGCCCTGGCGCTGATGGGTGCTCTCCGCAGGCAGTGGGTGCCGGGGGTGCTGGGGGTGCTCTCTCCAGGCACTGGGTGCTCTCTGCAGGCGGTGGGTGCTGTGGGGTGCTGTGGGGTGCTGTGGGTGCCCTGGTGCTGATGGGTGCTCTCCGCAGGCGGTGGGTGCTGTGGGGTGCTGTGGGGTGCTGTGGGTGCCCTGGTGCTGATGGGTGCTCTCTGCAGGCGGTGGGTGCTGGGGGTGCTCTCTCCAGGCACTGGGTGCTCTCCGCAGGCGGTGGGTGCCGGGGGTGCTGTGGGGGTCTGGCTGCGCGCCCTGGGGCTGCAGAGGTACGAGCAGGGGCTGGTGCACAACGGCTGGGACGACCTCGAGTTCCTCAGGTGAGCGGGGGGGGGACGGCCCCAAAACACCCCCCAGGACCCTCCCCCGGTCACCCCCCCACCCATCGCATCCTCCCTGGGGGGAACCACGGGTGCCGGCGTGGGGGGGGGGGAGACTCTGCCCTTGGGGAGACCCCCGGGGGGTCCCCATTGCCCCTGGGAGCATCCCTGCTGCTCCCCCCCCCACACTGCATCACCCCATAGCCAGAGCCTGGGTGTGGACCCGGGAACCCCATGGGCTGGGTGCCCCCCCCAAGTGTGGGTGCCCCCCTTTGGTTCTGTGACCCCCATGTGTGCCCCCCCCCCAGTGACATCACGGAGGAGGACTTGGAGGAGGCCGGAGTGCGGGATCCGGGCCACAAGCGGGTCCTCCTGGAGAGCCTCCAGCTCCGCAAGTAGCTGGGATCCCCCATCCGGGCAGCATCCTGGATCCTGCATCCTGGATCCTGCATCCCGGCAGCATCCTGGATCCTGCATCCTGGATCCCCCATCCCGGCAGCATCCTGGATCCTGCATCCCGGCAGCATCATGGATCCTGCATCCTGGATCCTGCATCCTGGATCCTGCATCCCGGCAGCATCCTGGATCCCCCATCCTGGATCCTGCATCCTGGATCCCGCATCCCGGCAGCATCCTGGATCCTGCATCCTGGATCCTGCATCCCGGCAGCATCATGGATCCTGCATCCTGGATCCCCCCCATCCCAGCAGCATCCTGGATCCTGCATCCTGGATCCTGCATCCCGGCAGCATCCTGGATCCCCCATCCTGGATCCTGCATCCTGGATCCCCCATCCCGGCAGCATCCTGGATCCTGCATCCCTGCAGCATCCTGGATCCCATCATCCCGGATCTGCATCCCCTTGGCCCGGATCCCCACCAGCATCACCAGGACCCCCATCCTGGGCGCTGGGCAATGGGGGTGCAGGGGGGGGTTGGGGGTGCTGGGACCTGGTCAGACAATTTCAGGGGGTCCCATCATGGGGCTCCCCTTGGTTAAGTTATTTCTTATTTATTGGGGGGTCTTGGGGGGGGGGTTGGGGTGATACCCACCCACACCCCCCCCCGGACCTCAGGGTGCCCCCACGGCCCCTTGCACCCAGGGAGGAGGAAGCTCTGAGCAGCGCTGTGGCTCAACCCAAGTGCCTTCATGATGCCAAGATGGGATGTGGGAAACGGGAGATGGGATGGGATGGGATTGGGATGGGGGTGCTCTACCAGCCCCCATGGGTGACACCAGGGAGACCTCAGAGTGCCCATTCCCACCCATAGGTTCCCATCACCACCCATGGGGTCCCGCAATCACCTATGAGGCCCCATCACCACCATGGGGTCCCATCACCACCATGGGGTCCCATCACCACCCGTGGGGTCCTATCATCACCAGTAGGGTCCCATCCCCACCCATGGGGTCCCATCACCACCATGGGGTCCCATCACTACCATGGGGTCCCATCACCACCATGGGGTCCCATCACCACCATGGGGTCCCATCACAACCATGAGGTCCCATCACCACCATGGCATCCCATCACCACCATGGGGTCCCATCACTACCATGGGGTCCCATCACCACCATGGGGTCCCATCACCACCATGGGGTCCCATCACTACCATGGGGTCCCATCACCACCATGGGGTCCCATCACCACCTGTGGGGTCCTATCATCACCAGTAGGGTCCCATCCCCACCCATAGGGTCCCACCACAGCAGAACCCCACCAGTGCCTTCACCCAACGCCCCCTCCCATCACCACCAGTGCCTTGGGGTGCCCCCCCCCCCATCCCCAGTTTGCCCATCAGGTACTGCTTACTGGATCCGTCCCCTCCTGGGGCTGCGTCACCCTTGGGGGCAGCAGGGCTGGAACCAGGACCCCCAGCATGGGTGCTCCCCAGACCCCCCCATGGGTGCTCACCCCCCAGCTTCACCAAGTGCCCTTCCAGGGAGGGTCCCCAGGGTCTCCCTAGGATGGGGGTCCCCCACGGTGGGGGATGCTCAGGATAGGGCATCACCATTAGGGGTGGGGGTCCCCAAGATGGGGTGGTCCCCAGAACAGGGGGACCCCATGGTGGGGGTCACCCACCAATGTGTCCCCCCCAGGCTCTCCCTGGCCCCATGGCCTGCACCCCAGGATCAATGGGGGATGATGAGGGGGTGATGGGTGCTCCCAGCCCCCCCCATCTCCTCCCTCCCTTCATCGGGCCCCCCCCGTGTCCCCCCAGTTCTGCTCCGGCTGAGATGAAGGATGGGCCCGACCCCCCCGCACCCCCTTTGGTGTGAACTTGACCCAGTAAAGCCTCGAGTCGTGTCCGTGTCCGTGTCCATATCCCGGGATCTGGGGGGTTCCCTGTGGGTCAGCGGGATGGACCCCCCCGGAGGTTCCCGGGATTGACGTGGGGAGGGTGGTGGGATGGGGAACTGGAACCACAGTGGTCCAGGAGCCTCCGCACTGGTTGTGCTGGTGCCAGAGTGGATGGGATGCTCCAGACTGGCTGTACTGGGACCAGTATAGTCCAGGAGCCTCCAAACTGGCTGTAGTGGTCCCAGCATGATGGGGACCCTCAGTAACATGGCCACACTGGTCCCAGTATGGTGGGAGATGCTCTGGACTGTTCCCATTAAGGTGGGGACCCTCTGGACTGGCCATACTGGTCTCAGCGTGGAGTGGCCCTTCCATACTGGTTTTACTGGTCCCAGCACCACGTGAGAGGCCACTGTGGTCGTGCTATGGGGTGGGGGGGGCTGCCCATGGGGGTGTTGACCCGGAGGGGGGAGTCCCAAGGGGTCCTTGGTGGGGGGGGGGCGGCAGCGTCAGTGGAGGGGGAGTGGTCCCTAGAGATGGGGGTCATTGAGGGGGGTCCCTGGGGGGGGGGGGGCTGGTGCCTCATCAATAAATTAAGTTTATTGGATTAACGCCATTTGCAAACAGGGCAATAAATTACAACCGGTTAAAAACCACCCCCCCACACCCCCCCATACACCGGAGGCCCCCCCCCAGTGTGTGTGTGTGTGTGTGTCACCCCGGGACCCCTTCACATGGGCACTGTGTGGGGGGGGTCCCTGCTCCTCCGAGGGGTCCCACTGGTGGTTTGGGGGGGTCCATCCCGCTCCAGCCCCATCCAGGGGGAGATTTGGCACATGGGGGGGGGGGCAGTGGCTGCTCCCGGTGCCTCCGCTCCCGTCGGCATCACCCCTGGTACTCCCGGTGAGCATCACCCCATCGCCACGCGGGGGGGGGCCCCGCTCAGCACCCTGTGCCCCCCACTTCCCCACCCCTAAAGTGCTTCCTCCCCCCGGGGGTGGGGGGGGGGGTCCCGTGGGACGCGGGAGCGGGGCGCTCCGGGGCCCCATCAGAAGAGGTTGGCCTTGAGCCCGCTCGGCTTCCGATGGAAGGAGCCGAGGACGCCGGAGAAGGGCCCGGGTGCGGGCTCCGGGGGCTGCTGCCAGCCCTTGAGCAGCTCCGCGCCCGCCGCGGCCCACGCCGGAGCCTTGAGGCCGTGCGGGGCGGGCGCGGGGCCGGGGCTGGCGGGCGCGGGCAGGGACGCGGTGCTGTCGGGAGCGGGGCTGCTCGTGGACTCCTTGGAGTCCTCGTCCTCGGAGGGCGAGCGCGGCTCCGGCTTCTTCCCCCCCGCGCCGCCGCCGCCCTTGGCGCTCGCCGCCCGCTCCTGCTTGCGGAACTTGGCGCGGCGGTTCTGGAACCACACCTGGGGACGGGGGGGGCGGTGGGGCAGAGCCGGGGCCTGGGGCCTGAACCCTGAACCCCCCCACCCCGTGGGGAAGAGCGGGGCAGGAGGAGCCCCCAGCGCCGCCCCCGCCAGCAGCGGAGCCCGCGGGGTCCTCGCGGGAGGGTCCCGGGGCTCGGGAGCAGCCCCCAAGGGGGAGGTGAGATCAGGCAAGGGCACGTTGGAGGGGGCCCTGGGTGAGCCGGTGGGGTGCGAGGTGTCCGCGCCCGCCGCAGGGCCGGAGCTGGGCGAGCTCTGGGTCCTGTCCAGCCCAAACCATGCCGTGAAAAGCCAGGGTCAGGGCACAGACACCCAAGGCTGGGATGCAGCCACCCGAAGTTAGAAGGCAAACACCCAAGGTTGGGATGCAGTTACCCAAGGTTGGGATGCGGCCACCCAAGGCTGGGATGCAAACACCCAAGGTTGGGATGCAGCCACCCAAAGTTGGGATGCGGTCACCCAAGGTTGGGATGCACCCAGCCAAGGTTGGGATGCGGCCACCCAAGGCTGGGATGCAACCACCCAAGGCTGGGATGCAACCACCCAAGGTTGGGATGAGGCCACCGAAGGCTGGGGTGTGACCACCCAAAGCCAAGGTGCAGCCACCCAAGGCTGGGATGCAGCCACCCAAGGCTGGGATGCAGATACCCAAGGTTGGGATGCGGCCACCCAAAGCCGAGGTGCAGCCACCCAATGATGAGGTGCAGCCACCCAAGGCTGGGATGCAGTTACCCAAGGCTGGGATGCGGCCACCCAAGGTTGGGATGCAGTTACCCAAGGCTGGGATGCGGCCACCCAAGGTTGGGATGTGGCCACCGAAGGCTGGGATGCGGCCACCCAAGGCTGGGATGCAACCACCCAAGGTTGGGATGCACCCAGCCAAGGTTGGGATGCAGTCACCCAAAGTTGGGATGCAACCACCCAAGGCTGGGATGCAGATACCCAAGGTTGGGATGCGGCCACTGAAGGCTGGGGTGCGACCACCCAAAGCCAAGGTGCAGCCATCCAAGGCTGGGATGCAGATACCCAAGGTTGGGATGCAACCACCCAAAGCCGAGGTGCAGCCACCCAATGATGAGGTGCAGCCACCCAAGGCTGGGATGCAGATACCCAAGGTTGGGATGCAGCCACCCAAGGTTAGGATGAGGCCACCCAAGGTTGGGATGTGGCCACCGAAGGCTGGGATGCGGCCACCCAAAGCCGAGGTGCAGCCACCCAATGATGAGGTGCAGCCACCCAAAGCCGAGGTGCAGCCACCCAGTGATGAGGTGCAGCCACCCAAAGCCGAGGTGCAGCCACCCAGTGATGAGGTGCAGCCACCCAATGATGAGGTGCGATCAACCCAACGCTGAGGTGCAAGGAGCCAAGTCCAGGTGCAGCCACCCAACGCTGAGCTGCACCTGCCCAGGTTTAGGTGCAGCCACTGAAGGTTTGTGCACAACCACCCAGCACCGAGGCGCCCCTGCCCGGCGTCACGGCAGGACCTTGTCCCCCCCCGCTGCCCCTCACCTGCACCCGGGCCTCGGTGAGGTCGATCTTGAGCGCCAGCTCCTCGCGGGTGTAGATGTCGGGGTAATGGGTCTCGGCGAAGACGCGCTCGAGCTCCTTGAGCTGGGAGCTGGTGAAGGTGGTGCGGATCCGGCGCTGCTTCCGCTTCTCGTTCAGGCCCTGCGCCTCCGAGAAGAACTTGTAGGGGACTGCGGGGAGAGGGGGGCTCAGCGGGACCGGCACCGGGACCGGCACCGGGGCTCGCTGGGTTGGGTGGGCAGAGGCAGTGGGCAGGATGAGAGAGCAGGGAGCGATGCGCCGGGATGGGATGAACCGGGCAGGATGCACCGGGAGGGAAAGCACCGGGATGGGATGAACCGGGCAGGATGGATCAGGATGGGATGAACCGGGCAGGATGCACCGGGAGGGAAGGCACCGGGATGGGATGAACCGGGCAGGATGGATCAGGATGGGATGAACCGGGCAGGTTGTGGGGAGCAGGGATGCACCAGGATGGGGTGCACCCGGCGGGTTGTGGGGAGCAGGGATGCACCAGGATGGGGTGCACCGGGCGGGTTGTGGGGAGCAGGGATGCACCAGGATGGGGTGCACCGGGCGGGTTGTGGGGAGCAGGGATGCACCAGGATGGGGTGCACCGGGCGGGTTGTGGGGAGCAGGGATGCACCAGGATGGGGTGCACCGGGCGGGTTGTGGGGAGCAGGGATGCACCAGGATGGGATGAACCGGGCGGGTTGTGGGGAGCAGGGATGCACCAGGATGGGGTGCACCGGGCGGGTTGTGGGGAGCAGGGATGCACCAGGATGGGGTGCACCGGGCGGGCTGTGGGGAGCAGGGATGCACCAGGATGGGGTGCACCGGGCGGGCTGTGGGGAGCAGGGATGCACCAGGATGGGGTGCACCCGGCGGGTTGTGGGGAGCAGGGATGCACCAGGATGGGGTGCACCCGGCGGGTTGTGGGGAGCAGGGATGCACCAGGATGGGGTGCACCGGGGGGGTTGTGGGGAGCAGGGATGCACCAGGATGGGGTGCACCGGGCAGGATGAACTGGGAAGGGGGAAACAGGGCACAGACGCGCCGGGAAGGGAGGCACCGGGAAGGGATAAACCCGGCAGGGATGAGCTAGGATGGAATGCACTGGAACAGGATGCACAGGGCAGGATGTGGGAACGGGGACGCACCGGGATGGGACGAACTGGGACGGGATGAAACAGGCAGAACACAGTGGGAAGGGATGAACCGGGCAAGGATTAATCGGGACGGGATACACCAGGAAGGGATGAAGCGAGCAGGGATAACCCAGGCAGGGGAGAACGGGGCAGGACACACCGGGAAGGGTTGAACCGGGCAGGGATGAACCGGCAAGGGATGGAACGTGCAGGGATGCACTGGAACAGGATGCACCGGACAGAACACACCGGGAAGGGATGAACCAGGCAGGGATCAATCGGGACGGGATGTAGCGGGAAGGGGCGAACTGGGAAGGGATGAACCAGGCAGGATGCACGGGAACGAGATGGACACCAGGACGGGATGCACAGGGACGGGATGCACGGGGACGGGATGCACTAGGCAGGGATGCACCGGGACGGGATGCACCGGGACGGGATGCACCGGGCAGGGATGCACCGGGCAGGGATGCACCGGGACGGGATGCACCGGGACGGGATGCACCGGGACGGGATGCACCGGGACGGGATGCACCGCGCAGGGCAGCGGCGGGGCTCGGCCGCTTCCCCCGGTCCCTTTCGTTCGTTGCCGCCGCCACCTCCTCGGGGGGACGCGGGGCCCCTGGCGCGGTGCGGGGCAGGGACCGGGACCGGGGCCGGGGCAGGGGCCGGGGGACGCGGCCGGTCCCGCCCCGCGGCTCCTTCGTTGTCGGCGCATCCGCGGGCAGCATCCGCGGCGGCAACGAAAGCGGAGCGGGGAGGGGGGTGCGGCGGCGGAGAACCCCCGGAACCGTTCCCCAGGAGCCGCCGCTACCGGGACCCCCGGCCCCGCGCTGTGGGAAAGGGCCGGGCCCGGGGGCTGCGGGGGATCCGCTCCCAGGCGGCTCCGGGAAGCGGCGCTGCCGGGATGGATGGCACCAAGAACCGGGGGTTACCGGCGGCATCGAGCCCTGACAGTGCCGGGAATCGGCGGTACCAGGAACCGACGGTACCGGACACGGGAGGCAGCGTGCACCCAAAGTACCGCGTACCAGCGTCGCTGGGGACTGACAGTATCGGCACCGACGGCATCGAGCACGGACAGTACCGGGTACCGACGGATCCGGTAACCAGCGGTACCAGGCACCGACAGCACCGGGAACCGACAGCACCGAGTTCCGACAGTGCCGGGAACCGGCGGTACCGGCACCGGCAGCACCGAGCTCCGCCTGTACCGGCCCCGGCGGCCCCGGGAGCCGACAATACCGGTGGCATCGAGCACCGATCGTACCGGGTACCAACGGCTCCGGGAACCGGCAGGACCGGGCACGGACAGCAAAGTAAAGCGATGGCATCGAGCACTGGGGGCTCTGGGAACCGGCAGCACCGGCCACCAACGGCTCTGGGAACCGGCAGGACCGGGTACAGGCAGCATCGAGCTTCGCCAGTGCCGGGCACCGGCGGTACCGGGAACCGGTGGCTCCGCTCCCTGACGGTACCGGGAACCGACTGCATCGAGCACGAGTGGCCCCGGGAACCTGCAGCACTGGCGGCACCGAGCACGGACGGTACCGGGCATCAACGGCTCCGGGAACCGATGGTACCGGCACCGACGGCATCGAGCAGCGGCAGTAACGGGTACCAACGGCTCCGGAGACCGGCAGTACCCGGCATTGACGGCATCGGGCACCGGTGGCCCCGGGAAGGGCAGTACCGGGCACTGCCAGCGCCGGGAACCGACCGCATTTGGCACCGACAGCATCGGGCTCTGCCTGTACCAGCACCGGCGGCTCCGGGAACCGACAGCACCGACATAGACAGCATCGAGCACTGACAGTACCGGGCACCAACGGCTCCGGGAACCGATGGCACCGAGTCCTGACGGCATCGAGCGCCAAAGGCATCGAGCACCGGCGGCCCCGGGAGCCGGCAGTATCGAGCACGAACAGCCCCGGAAACCGACGGTACCGGCACCGACAGCATCGAGCTCTGCCAGTACCGGCACCAGCGGCTCCGGGAACCGGCAGTACCGGACACTGACGGCTCCGGGCACCGGCGGCATCGAACTCCGCCTGTACCGGCACCGGCGGCTCCGGGAACCGACAGCACCGAGCGCTGACGGCCCCGAGAAGCAACGGCACGGGGGGAACGGGCAGCACCGGGCCCTGGCAGCACAGACCCGACACCGAGCACCGGCGGCGCCGGGAACCGCCGACACCGTCCCCGACGGCACCGAGCACGGACAGAACCGGGCACCAGCGGCCCCGGGGAGCGACGTTAAGGGTGGAACCGGCCCGCGGAGGTCCCTAAGCCCCACGCCCGACGCCCCGTTCCCCGGTGCCCGTTACCTGCGGGGTAGGGAGCGGGTTGCGGGTCCCGCAGCGCTCCCAGGGCGCAGCTCCCGGGGCCGAGCGGGGCGCAGGCGGCGGCGGGGCCGAACCCTCCTCGGACGGGTCCGTACTGGAAGGAGCCGGCCTGGCTGCAGGGGCTGAACTCGTACGCGGACGCCTCCATCGCGGCCACGCAGGAATCGTAGGAGTTGAGGTAGGAGTAGTCCATGGCGAGCACGGAGCGGGCTCGGCTCCCGGCCGCCCGTCACCGCCGCCTCCGGCCCGCCGGCCCCCGGCCCGCCCCCTCCATCGGCCGCCCCGGCCCGCCCCGGTCCGCCTCGGCCCGTAGATATAGCGGCGGCGGCGGGGGGGCAGCGCACAAAGCGGCGCTCGCCGCTCGCCCGGGTTTTGCATGACAATATCTCCCGGGGCCGGCGGCAGCGGCGGGAGGAGCCGCCCCCCCCCGCCCCGTCCCGGTGTTAACCCTTGGTGGGGACCCGGCACCCCCCGGCCGGCCCCGCTGGGACCTGGACCCGTCACCCCCCTCCGCACCCCCTCGGAACAGTGCCCCGGGGGTGTTGCACCCGAATCCAGCCTCGGCGCCATCCCTGTCCTCATTCACATCCCCATCCCATCCCTATCCCCATCCCCATTCCAACTTCGTCCTCCCCATCCCCATCTCTATCCCCGTCCTTACCCTTATCCTCATCTTCAACACCATCCCATTTTCATCCCCTCCCCATCCCTGTCCTCATCCTCATCCTAATCCTTATCCTCATCCCCATTTCCATTCCATCCTAATCTTCCTCCCTATCCCCATCACTATCTCCATTTTTATCCTCATCCCCATCCTCATCCCATCCCCATCCCATCCTCATTTTTATCCCCATTCCCATTCTCATCTCATTCCCACCCTCATCCCCATCCCATCCTCATCCTCAACACCATTTCATTTTCATCCTCATTCTCATCCCACCCCTGTCCCCCTCCTCACCCTCGCCATCACCTCCATCACATCCCCTTCCCCATGTTACCACATTCCATCCCATCCCCATCCCATTCCCAATCCCCCTGGATGAATTCCGGAGCTCTCCCCCATCCTTGAGGCCCAGGCCTTTGCCAGGCCGCTCCAGCAGCACCGCGGGGGGGGGGGGATTTAGTTGGATTTGGTGGGATTTGGGGCCATTCTCCAGACAAACACTTGCACTAAAGAGGCTCGAAAGGACCGATTCCCCCCTGGAGCCCTGTGGGGGGATTGAAGCCCCTGGTTCTGCAGGATCAGCTCCCAACTGTTCTGCCCCATGCCCTGCTCCATCTCCTGCCCTGCACCCAATCCCATCTCCTGCCCTGCATCCACCCCTGTGTCTTGCTCCACATCCATCCCCATTTCCTACCCTGCACCTCCTCCATCCCCTACCCCATGCCTCATCCCCCGCACTCCTCCATCCTTCCCGCTCCCCCCAGACCCTCGTCAGGGCCGGCTCTGGGGCCGGTCCCCGCGGTGGGTGCAGGCAGGGCCGACCCTGCGGGTGCAGGCAGGGGCTGGTCCCTGTGGGTGCAGGCAGGGCCGATCCTGTGGGTGCAGGCAGGGGCCGATCCTGCGGGTGCAGGCAGGGGCTGGTCCCTGTAGGTGCAGGCAGGGCCGATCCTGCGGGTGCAGGCAGGGGCCGGTCCCTGTAGGTGCAGGCAGGGCCGATCCTGCGGGTGCAGGCAGGGGCTGGTCCCTGTAGGTGCAGGCAGGGCCGGTCCCTGCGGGTGCAGGCAGGGGCCGGGCTCTGCGGGGCCGTTGCTATCGCAGTTAATTCAATGGGCGCCGGCCCCGCCGCCGGCTGCTGCTGCTGCTCCGCTTAATGCAATTAACGGCGCTAAACTCATTAGGCTGCAGCAACCTGCGGCAGCGGCTGCGCCCGGCGGGGCCGCGCAGAGCGGGGGGGGGGGAGTGAGGGGTGGAGGGGGTGAGGGGGGAGCTGGGGCAGGCCCGGGGCTTGTGGGACCAGCTCTGACCTGTCCTGGACCAGCTCCTGTACCCGCGTCCTGCATCCATCCCCGTGTCCTGCTCCTCATCCATCCCCGTGTCCTGCTCCTCATCCATCCCCGTGTCCTGCCCCGCATCCATCCCCGTGTCCTGCTCCTCATCCATCCCCGTGTCCTGCTCCTCATCCATCCCCGTGTCCTGCCCCGCATCCATCCCCGTGTCCTGCTCCTCATCCCTCCCCGTGTCCTGCTCCGCATCCATCCCCGTGTCCTGCTCCGCATCCATCCCCGTGTCCTGCCCCGCATCCATCCCCGTGTCCTGCTCCTCATCCCTCCCCGTGTCCTGCTCCTCATCCCTCCCCGTGTCCTGCTCCTCATCCATCCCCGTGTCCTGCTCCTCATCCATCCCCGTGTCCTGCTCCTCATCCCTCCCCGTGTCCTGCTCCGCATCCATCCCCGTGTCCTGCCCTGCATCCATCCCCGTGTCCTGCTCCTCATCCATCCCCGTGTCCTGCCCCGCATCCATCCCCGTGTCCTGCTCCTCATCCCTCCCCGTGTCCTGCTCCTCATCCCTCCCCGTGTCCTGCTCCTCATCCATCCCCGTGTCCTGCTCCTCATCCATCCCTGTGTCCTGCTCCGCATCCATCCCTGTGTCCTGCCCCGCATCCATCCCCGTGTCCATCCCTGCATCCATCCCTGTGTCCTGCCCCGCATCCATCCCCGTGTCCTGCCCCGCATCCATCCCCGTGTCCATCCCTGCATCCATCCCCGTGTCCTGCCCTGCATCCATCCCCGTGTCCTGCCCCGCATCCATCCCCGTGTCCTGCTCCTCATCCATCCCCGTGTCCTGCCCCGCATCCATCCCCGTGTCCATCCCTGCATCCATCCCCGTGTCCTGCCCTGCATCCATCCCCGTGTCCTGCCCCGCATCCATCCCCGTGTCCTGCTCCTCATCCATCCCCGTGTCCATCCCTGCATCCATCCCCGTGTCCATCCCTGCATCCATCCCCGTGTCCTGCCCCGCATCCATCCCTGTGTCCTGCCCCGCATCCATCCCCGTGTCCTGCCCCGCATCCATCCCCGTGTCCTGCTCCTCATCCATCCCCGTGTCCATCCCTGCATCCATCCCTGTGTCCATCCCTGCATCCATCCCTGCATCCATCCCTGTGTCCTGCCCTGCATCCATCCCTGTGTCCATCCCTGCATCCATCCCTGTGTCCTGCCCCAGCATCCCCACAGCACACTGGGATGTCGGTGCCACCCCGTTTGTTCTGGCTGAAGCCGGGTGCTGGCAGCGGGGACACCCCATTGTCCCCAGTGCCACCCATGGGGGGTGCAGGGTGAGCCCAGAACGGGTGTCAGTGGCAGCGGGGACAGGGGCCTCCATCCCGGCCTCATTCCCCATGCCGGTCCCACAGCAGCACCCCCAGCGCCATCCCCGTCCCTTTGTGGTCGCAGCATTGCGTGGGGACCCCGGGGTTGCTCTGGGGGGGTCTCGGCCACCCCATTGCCCTGGGGCAGAGCCAGAGCCGGGGCCTCCGTGCCCCCAAACGGGAGCAGGAGCCGGGTCCGGGATGGAAACCCCGGCACAGGCTCTGAGATCCTGGACTGTGGTGCCTGGGCACAGGGCCGGCTGGGGGGGGGTGACCCAGCACCGCTGCACCCAAATACAGCCAAAGAGACCCAAATACACCCTAATACAGCCAAATACAGCCAAATACAGCCAAATAAACCCAAATACAGCCAAATACAGCCAAATACAGCCAAATACAGCCAAATACAGCCAAAGAGACCCAAATACAGCCAAATAAACCCAAAGAGACCCCAAAACACCCAAATACAGCCAAATAGAACCAAAGAGCCTCAAATAAACCCAAATACACCCAAATACATCCAAAGAGACCCAAATACACCCAAAGGGACCCAAATACACCCAGAGAGACCCAAATACACCCAAAGAGACCCAAATACACCCAGAGAGACCCAAATACACCCAAAGGGACCCAAATACACCCAGAGAGACCCAAATACACCCAGAGAGACCCAAATACACCCAAATACAGCCAAAGAGACCCAAATACACCCAAATACACCCAAATACAGCCAAATACAGCCAAATACAGCCAAAGAGACCCAAATACATCCAAAGAGACCCAAATACACCCAAATACAGCCAAAGAGACCCAAATACACCCAAATACACCCAAATACACCCAAAGAGACCCAAATACAGCCAAATAAACCCAAATACAGCCAAATACATCCAAATAAACCCAAATACAGCCAAAGAGACCCAAATACACCCAAATACACCCAAATACAGCCAAAGAGACCCAAATACACCCAAATACAGCCAAATACAGCCAAATACATCCAAAGAGACCCAAATACAGCCAAAGAGACCCAAAAACACCCAAAGAGACCCAAATACACCCAAAGAGACCCAAATACACCCAAAGGGACCCAAATACACCCAAAGAGACCCAAATACACCCAAAGAGACCCAAATACACTCAGAGAGACCCAAATACATCCAAAGAGCCCCAAATACATCCAAAGAGCCCCAAATACACCCAGAGAGACCCAAATACACCCAGAGAGCCCCAAATACACCCAAAGGGACTCAAATAGACCCAAATACACCCAGAGAGCCATTGAGGAGGGAGCCGATGGGGGATGCACTGACCTGGGGCTGGTTTGGCACCCGGGCAGGGTGGAACCCCAGTGCTGGTGCCCCGGCCCCACGGTGCTGGGCTTGGGTGCTGGTGCCCCAGCACATGGGATACGGCGGGGGGGGGGGACCCCGCCTGGGATCAACCTTCACAACGCGTGCACCCCGATCCCATATGGACACCCTGGTGCGCTCCCATGCACGCCTGTGAGCCCAGGGCTGCCCTCAGGGCACACCCGAGCACACTGGTGCATACTGGTGCATACTGGTGCACACTGGTGCGCACTGGTTCATACTGGTGCGCACTGGTGCACACTGGTACATACTGGTGCGCACTGGTGCACACTGGTGCGCACTGGTTCATACTGGTGCGCACTGGTGCACACTGATGCACACTGGTTCATACTGGTGCACACTGGTGCATACTGGTGCACACTGGTGCATACTGGTGCACACTGGCGCACACTGGTTCATACTGGTGCACACTGGTGCACACTGGTTCATACTGGTGCACACTGGTGCATAGTGGTGCATACTGTGCACACTGGTGCGCACTGGTGCACACGGGTGCACACTGGTGCATACTGGTGCACACGGGTGCACACTGGTTCATACGGGTGCACACTGGTTCCTACTGGTGCACACTGGTTCATACTGGTGCACACTGGTGCATACTGGTTCACACTGGTGCACACTGGTGCACACTGATGCACACTGGTTCATACTGGTGCACACTGGTGCATACTGGTGCACACTGATGCACACTGGTTCATACTGGTGCGCACTGGTGCACAGTGGTTCATACTGGTGCACACTGGTGCACACTGGTGCACACTGGTTCATACTGGTACATACTGGTGCACACTGGTGCACACTGGTACATACTGGTGCACACTGGTTCATACTGGTGCACACTGGTTCATACTGGTGCACACTGGTTCATACTGGTGCACAC